GCCTACTTTCACGGCATTTCCTGGGAAATCAGTAAATATGATTAAAGCAGGCGAGTTGAAAAGATATAGACAGGAAGGGCCTTGGGGACAACAAAAGCCTCTTGGCAGTGAGAGCCTTGGAGCCACTTCTGATTTCATGTACCTTCAGCTGGGAACTGCCACCAGAGATGCAAAGGCCACAGAGAGCTCTTAATCAAAGAATCAGGAAAGGGCAGCCCAGAGAAGCCAAAAAAGTAGCTAAAGTCAGTGCTTGTGCTTCACTGCAGTAAACACTGTTATGGACAGCCATGCTTCCCTGGCATGTCTACAGCCAGAACTGCCACCTCCCCAGCTGCTACAGAGCCCAGAGCTACCAAATCAGAGCACTGTCAAGGATGGAGCCTAGGGCTTGCCAACTTCAACAGCAAGAAACAAGGCCTCCTGCCACCAGGATATTGGGGGACCTGTAAGCACAGCTCGGAGTCTGAAGGGAAGGTGGATTTCTTGGGGCCTGGAGGGGAAGTGGAGGGGAAGTGGAACTGAAAGCAGCAGTGATGAATCTCCACCAAGGGTGCCGGAGTCCCATGGGAACACCAGCAAGGTGCTCTGCTGCCTCTCAGCCTCAGGAAGTCAGAGCTGTCACTGTTGAGAGAAGTAACAGGAACCCTGCCCCACAACACACGCACATACACATGCATGTACGACACACACACATACACATGCATGCAGTATCACTATCAGCAGAATCCACTCAGGGAGCCTGGACCTCCACTCAGACCTCACAGGACAGACGCGGCCCCTTTCTTCTCTCCCCACTGATGAAGTACAGAGGAAGCTGTCTAAACACAGGCTTAAATAAGATGGAGAGAGAGTCTTGTCATATAATAATCAAAAACCCATTGCAAACCAATAAATAAATAAAATTATATATAATATATATATATATATCACTGAATGCAAAAAGATATTAATAGACACCAATATAAAGAGTTCTTGGAACAAAATAGTTAACATTCATAATATTGGAACAATTGTGCATATTATTGTACAGTGATCTGAGGAACTCTTCAGATCAATATGTAAAATAACAACCCTAGTTATGCTCATAATCACCTTGTTTTGATATTGTCAGTGTGCTGGGCTCTTTGCTATTGTTGTTTATATTTCTTTTTCCTTTGTGTTTTTCTAGGAATTTGTTTTGTTTTATTTTGCTTTATTTTGTCCTCTCTAATACAGAAAGGATAGGTATACAATAGACTCATGTATGTGTAGAACTTCTAAGCAGTTTATGAGAATCGATTACACAATGCATGATGAAATCAACAGCTACTTTGAAGGAAAAGAGACACTAAGGTACCCAGTGCTGATTTCGTAGCATCATGATGTGAAACCCAGCAATACTATTATTCTTTGTTCAGAGTGATTTTAGTCTGTTTTGTTTTGTTTAATTTCAACATACATGAAGGTATGGACAGCTATTTTGAAGAGAACATAAGACACTATGACAGCCATTGTTGACTTCCCTATTGTCCAGTCTTGAAGACCTAAAATGCCTTCATCATCCTGTTCTGATCAGTTTTGTACAATGTTGTTTTGCATGAATTCATTGTGTGTGAAGATATGGACAACTATTTAGAAGAAAACAAGAGACATTATGGTAGCCAATGATGATCTCCTATTGTGTTGCTTTGAAATCTGTGTGTCACATTGTTTTCTTATGATCTGTTTTGTTCTGTTTATCTTTACCCTCTTTAAAATAAAATTTAAAAACATAAAAAACCCAATATTAGTTTTTTAAAAAAAAGATGGCAAGAATAGGAGTTATCTGACTCAGATCTTGAGCTACCCAACATAAAAACACACAAGCAATTGCAAACACGTGCAAAATAAGTTTCAGAGTCTGACTAAAGAAATAGAAAATACATAGGAAAAAACAAATGGAAAATTCAGAACTAAAAAGATACAGTAACTACAAATGTCTCAAATTTGTCCTTTTAATGGCTGGTTAGTATTCCATTGTGTGTAAATATCACATTTTCTTTATCTGTTCATCTGTTGATGGACACATAGGCTGCTTCCAAGATTCAGCTACCATGAGTTGTGCTACTATAAACATGGGTGTGCCTGGATCACTATAATACGATGCCTTCAACTCTTTTGGGAAGCTCTCTAGAAGAGGACTAACTGAATTGAGTGGAATTTGTGGTTTTAGTTTTCTGAGGAGTCTCCATCCCGATTTCCACAAAGGTTGCCCTAGTTCCCACTCTACCAACCATGGAGAAGAGTACCTTTCCCCCTCGGCCTCACCAGTATTTGTTGTTACTTGATTCCTTGATGATTGTCATCGCTTCTGGAGTAAAACAGAATCTAAGTGTTGTTTTAATCTACATGTCTCTAATGGCCAGCCATTTTGAGTATTTTTCCATGTATTTATTGGCTGCTTGTGTGGAGAAGTCCAGGCAAGAGGACAGCCACGTGGCACAATATGGAAACAGGACTCTCCCCTGAGCCCCAAGACCCCTGTGGTGTTTGCCAGGAGAGTGCAATTGACACCTACCCCGATGGACCTCAAACTTCAAACTGGGGCACTCCAAGCTTCCTTAGCTTCACTCTCTAAGTGAATTCACCTGGAAAACATTTTAATATACTTTATTAAAGCATACTTGTTTATGTACGAATGTACCCATGTCACCACATCTCAGATTAAGACATAAAACATTAGTGGTTGGGAATACAGCTCAGTGGCACAGTGCCTGCCTGGCAAGTGCAAGGTCCTGAATTTGATTCCTTGTACCAAAAGGAGGGGCATAAAACATTTTCATTATCCCCAAGATCCCCTTACACTATTTTAAATGAATATCCATTCCAGAGATAATCATCATCTTAACTTCATTCACTACAGATTAGCTTTGTCTAGTTTTTCAACTTTATATAAATGGAATAGTAAAATGGAACTTTTTTGTGTGTCTGTGAGTTATTTACTCAACTTGATAGCTATGTACTTTATTCACATTACGTTTATTTGTAGTTTGTTCCTTTTTATTGCGGAGTAGTGCTCCAAGGATAACCAAACAGCTAGTAAGCATATGGAAAGTTACTCAGTATCATTAGTCATCAAGGAAATGCAGTTTAAAACCATACTGAGATGCCAGAATTTAAAAATAAAAGAACACTTGAAAAGACTGCAATGCCAAGTGGTAATGAAGAATGAAACTCTTCTACATTAAAGCAGGAAGTATAAAATTCCAAACCCCTTTGGAAAATTATTTGGCAGTTTCTGAGAAAATTAAATGTAGTCTGCACCACGACTCTGCACTTCCATTCCTGTATCTGTACGCAAGAGAAATGAGGGCATATGCACACACAGTCTTAAGTGTTCACAGCAATTTTATTCATAATAGTCTCAAATCAGAAACAACCCAAACACCTGTCAATGGGAGAGTGGGTGCGTGAGTGTGACACATTCCCTGAGGGTCTGTCGTGTGCAGTATATACCCTTCTCTCTTTACATCTCTTCCCTTAGTGGGTGTGGCTCACCTTTTGGAGGATCCCATGTTAGTTTTGGTTCCCTCTGGAAACAGGAAGGGAGAACTGGACACTGTGTATGTCTGGTACCAAGCACAAGCCCTCCAAGGCTATCACATTTTAGATGCTGGGTCATGCTACGTTCAGCAATCATCTGATTTTGTAACCACTTCCTAAGTTGGATGTGATGCCCTGAGCAGACAGTGCAGTGATGATTAGCACCTGGTCCCTGAGGAGGAGACTGTGGTTATGAGCTGGGTTCTTACAATCAGAAAGACTTGTACTTGAATCCCAAGTCTTATTAACCAAGTGCTTTTGAATTAAACTTGGGCCTTCCAATCTGGGCAAGTCACCCATGTGATGCAAACAATAATCAGAGCACCCCCAAAATGCATTCCAGCAACTGAATGACAGGATGCATATAAAGTGCACAGAGCAATGTTGGGCATTGAGATTTTTAATCAGTGTTATTTATTATGATGACTATTATTGATATTCTAAATCTAGTAAAAAAGAGAGCAAATGATAACTAATTACAAATACAAAGCAGGCAATTAGAGATGCTGAAAGTAAAATCTGCTTTGGAGATACTGAAAGGCATTAGAGGCTAATTTAGGCTGGAAATTCTAGTAAATTTCTCATGAGATTTACAAAGTTGCAAATTATCAGCTTAGGAAATATGATCAAACAGTAAGTCCCATAATTTAAAAAAAGAACAGCATGTTTGAAACCCCACAACCTTAGATTTGAATCTAGGCTCATTGTTTTACTTAGTCATAGGATTTTTGAACAAGAAATTTAACCCCTCTGAGCTTGAATTTCTTCATGTGTAAAGGATTATCATTCTTATTTTGAATGCTAGGGAAGATTAAAAGGAATAGCTAACAAGATCAGTTACTCCAAGGCATAAATCTTAAAAATCTTAATAACTGAGCAAAAACATACAGGTTCAAAGTTTCACACACTCTGTCTCTTGGGGTGATCCTGGGGTTGGGAGGACTTCAGGACCAGGTGACATTTTCCTCCTGCAATGACTCTTAAGTGGCTCTACGTCACTTTGAGAATCTGGGTGTCCTTTCAGCCAGATAAAGGAACACACATAAAAGTATTTGCATAATTCTAGTATTCGAAGGCTTCTAAATAGGAATACAGTTTGCATAATTACTGTTTCCAAATCCCCTAGTAAAGAACTTTCAGCCAAAAAACGGGGAAGTCAGCCCATGAAAGGTGAGATCTTGACTGTCTTGATCCCAATCTTGCAACATCTGTCTCCCATAGAACTATTCTAGGTGACATCTGCTGTCATTACTAGATCTGTATCTGATCGAGTCCTCGGCACCTTGAACAGTGCCTGGCCAGGGCAGGCATTCAAACAACTGTTAAACATAAGAATGAGTTCATGCTGCATGTGATAACACTGAGCAAAAGTTCTTCTAAAGCGCCACTGTGCAGTTGTCACGGAGTGAATGAAAACAGCAACAGTCGGCAAGTGACTGTTGCTTGGGAAACAACAGGACACCAACTCATAGGAGGCTGCATGCATAGCACCGAGACCAAGCAATCCCCTCAGAAGGGAGGCCCAAGTCTTCTGTGGCCCAGCCCCTGCTTTAGCACCAAGGAAAATGCCTAAAAGGTCAGTAGCATGTTGTTTCTTATTGAGTTTCATTTAAACTGGTGAGTACATACCTGGAGTTCATGCAAACAGCTTAGGAGCTAAAATATTGGATTTGGTGCCTGTTATCCACCCAAATCCATGTCTAAATTGAATCACAGAACTGAAGAGAACAAATTTATAGCTTCAACTGCAAACGGAAAAGATGCTGCAGCTAAAACAAGTATGTTTGATTGCCTTTTGCAAATCAAACTTGATAAGGATTTTAACTGCATATCATATTCCAACTTCTCATGGTGGAGGAAAATTGTTTCATATTATTCAAGTGTGTAAAATGAGATTTAATAAATGAAAAAGTTCTTTATCATGTAATTCCACTGAAGAGAAGGACCTTTAGTTCCAAAATCATGTGGGTTTTGTTGTTGTTGTTGTTGTTGTTGTTTTGGTTTGATTGTTATTTTTTTTTTTTTGGTACCAGGGATTGAACTCATGACCTCATGCTTGGCAGGCAGGTGCTTATGCTGCTGAGCTAAATCCCAGCCCCAAATCATTTTTTGATATCTAACAAGTACTCTGCTAGGCAAGAAGGGGAAGTGTGGAGATGACTGCACTGCCCTGGCTTCTTAAGAGCGTAACAAGGCAGAGAAACATTACAGTGATGAGGAAGAACATTTGCAGTGTGCGCTGTGAAAAATAAAAATATAGTACATCCTTATCATATGAAAGATGTGGTAATGGTGCAGAGGCTTTAGGAAAACCACAGATGCTCACCAAGAAGATCATGAGGGACCCACAACATGGAAGAGTCCGGCTTTCTAACTCTATAAGTGAGAAATATGAACATCCCAAAGGTGACAGGGCTTGGACTAGCTAATGCTAAAACCAGATCAGGAAACTAACAGTCTGCTTTAAGGAGTTGTCATGAGTATGGTCACGTCACATGGCTCTAATTGGCTTTCTTAAACTTATTCCAGCTTTTGGGGGTTAAAACTTCAAACACACTTTGATTTATTGTTTGTGAAGGACCAAGAATCAACACTCTGCCTCTAATTAGTGCTTTTCCTATCTCTTTCTTCTTAGCAGCTGAAATAATTGCCCAAATGCAAATGTAATCCTGTGATGCCCATTGCCCTTGGGATAGCAGATGTCAGCCTTCCTGATGATCCCAAGCCTCGGTGTGCCTGGCCCTGGCCCTTGACTTCAGCCCAATCTTCCGTCACTATGTTCTTCTGCTCCAGGCTCCAGTCACACTGTACTTTCTCTGGTTCTCCGATTAAGCCATGCTTTTTCCCATGTTAGGGCCTCAACACACACTGTTCTGTCTGCTCAGAACACTGCTTTTCCTGCTTGACCTACTGCTTCCTTAGACTCTGGCAGGTGCCCTGACTACGGACTACACGCCTAGTCAGTCACAGGGCCACATAGATGCAAGGAAGACAGAGATGTGTGCGCTGAGATATTTCCTCACTACACCCCAGCAAACAAAGGATTTGGGCAGACGGATGGCTGCCCTGTTAGGATGCTCCGTGACTGTCTACAGAAAAGCACTGCTTTTGAAATCATTATATTGTTTTGCTTCAGATGTGACATCAACACCCAAACTTCCAGAATCATTATGTTTCTTTTACTCTGTTGGCAGCACTTCAACATCAAAGCAACTGGCTTCAATAAAAGGTAAGGCAGAGCATGACCGGGATGGGTATGCTGCTCCTCCACCACAACAGCATGCCAAGAGTGAAAGATAATAGGATGGCAAAGAATGTCAAAGGTGTGAAGAACTTGTAGATACATCACAAGACATTGGCAGACCTGTTTTTAAAGATCTGGGAGCCGAGATTCAGTGTAGGGATTAGCCGGCCTACATGCAGACATCCCATGAAAAGCAAAGTCAGGATGAGGATGTAGGTCCTCTCACTCGTAACTCAGGGGTTTCCCCACCATCCCCTGTTGTTTCTCCATGGACTTCCTCAGGATGCCCAGCACAGGACCCTAAGCTTCATCTGACTCCTAAGTGTTTAATGGGACTCAGGCATGATGGGCTCCCACCTGCCTCTGCTGAAGGAGAAAAAGCATAGTGAGGCCAACTCTCAAGTGGTGACGACTTCCCCTGGAATTCAGTGAAGGTGCAAAACACCTCTAGCACTAATGACACTGCCATGGAGCCAACAATACAAGACAAACATCGGGTTGGGTCGTTCTTACCCAAAATGTGTGGCTCACAGTGTTTCTAGAATCACATGTGCAACCAGATCGTTCCACAGGGAAGGTGTTTTCCTGCAGGATGGGTGGGCAGTATCTCCAGGACATGATCTTGGCAGGCGAGGTAAATAAGTGTCCATCTGGTAAAATGTCACTTTTATACTATGACAACAGACAGATCTATGATTTCTGTTTCAAAATTTTATTTATTTTTTAAAGTAACTGCTATGCCTCACTGCCCTATTATATGAAACAACAATTTCCTTTCTTTTTATTAGTGGATGTTGGTAATAGATAATAATGACATTTGTTTAGGGGAATCGTGCGTGTATGTAATCTACCTTAATCATCTTAGCCCTTTTGCCTCCCCCTATCACACTGTCCTTTTCTATCTCCAAAAAGCTGCTTTCTTGTCTTCTGCCATTTCTCTTTTATTTTACTCATTTATTTATTTTTAAGTTTCTCCTATAAGTAAATCATACAACATTTAACTTTCTGTGTCTGACTTCTCACTTAGAATTACAGTCTCAGGTTCCAATCATTTTGCTGTAAATAATACGATTTCATTCTTTATGGCTAATTAATATGTATGATATATAGTACATTTGTATGATATAAATATAGATAGATAGATGGATGGATAGATGGATAGATAGATAGATAGATCACTTTTTCATCCATTCATTTGTTGCTGGGCATATAAGCTATTTCCTAAGCTTGGGTATTATGAATTGTGCTGCTGTAAGTGGTCTGTACATGTTTCTCTAGTATGATGCCTTTCAGTAACACACTCAGGAGAGATGTGGCTGGGCCAAATGAAATTTCTAGCTTTAGCTTTTTAAGAAATTATACATATTTCCACAGTGCTTGTGTTAGTTTACAGTCCACCAACAATGTACAAGGTCTCATTTTTTCCACATCCTCACTAGCATTTCTTGCTTTTTATGTTCTTGATCGTAGGCATTCTGATTGGGGTAGGATGGAATCTCAGCACTGTTTTGATTTTAATTTCCCTAATGTCTAAAGATGATGAGTATCTTTTCATGTACTTATTGGCCCATTTGGTACTTCTTTTGCAACATGTCTATTCAGTTCATTTCCCCATGTTTTGATTGATTTGTTTGGGGAAGGTTAATGCTTTTCATACTTTATATACGTGTATGTGTATTCTCTATATATTATTCCTCTATCAGAAGAGTATCTGGAAAAACATTTTTCCATTCTATAGGTTATATTTTCACTTGGTTGATTGTTTCCTTTACTGTGCAGAAGATTTTTAATGGATATAATTCTGTTTGTTGATTCTTCATAGTATTTCCCATGCTGTGAACTTCTAAACAGAAAGTCCTTGCCTATGCCTATGGCCTCAGAAATTTCCCCTGTGTTAATTCACACAATTTCAGGTACTTTTGGGAAATATTGCACCACATTTTTTTAACAATTCCTCTGGGTTTGGGTGTAACTACATGGTTTCCACCCCATTTCTTACACCAAACTCCTGAAATTGGACCATTGCTGCATTATGAGACCAGAGGGCTCATCTTTTATTCAGTAGTAGGTGTTAGTCACTGAAATCAAACAGATCATGGAAGTAAAGTGACAATTTTTCTGCAGTCTACTTAACTTATGACTCCCAGTGATTAGGGAATAAGGATGTAGGATGAGTACATACATGCTGAACACCCAGGGTCGATTTGCAATGAGTTTGAGAAGTACTGGAGTGTATCAGTGAGTGTTTACTAGACAAACAGATATGACGCGAGATATACAAATATATATGAACCTACAAGATCAACTTGCGATGGCCACACAGAGTCAGATAAGGAAGAGTGCAGACATTGGAGACCAAAGGATTCAGCTGAAGGTCTGGGGCTTGATGCAGGGTCCTGTGCAAGCCCATGCCAGGAGGTCCACAGATCTATGACAGAGGTTCAAGAGTCTATGCTGGAAGCCAGGAAATGACGTCTCTCTTCCTTTTCCCTTTATACTATCCCAGCTACAGGCCACCCTTGGGCTGGGCCTTCCACATCCTACCCTGTGGAACTGCTGAGCTGACTTAGTTAAACTTCTCTTACTCAAGTTGATATAATCAATCAACCATCACATGGATACTGGAATACCTCCTGACCTAGATAGGATAGAGCAGAGCCTTGCTAGATCTTGGCTCTGCTATATATTACCCTATCTCAGCCTGGGCAAATGACTTCACTCCAGTACGTCTTCACCTTCATCAAAAAGTAACTAATAATCAGGAAAAGTTCTAAAATGAGCTGATTTTGACCCATGACTGTATTAATATGGTATTTCTATAATGCTAACTGTTAGGAACACTTTATGTCAAATACTTAATATTTAGTGCTCTGTGTTCCAGAGCAGATGAGGAAGATGGGATGGAGAGTTGTTCTGAGGTTCAATCATCTCACTTAGTACAGTACTTAGGGCCTGGGAACAAATACAAAGGAAACCAAGGAGTGATGCCTTCCTTCAGGGAGTGCATGGTCTAGAATTGCACTGTTTAGTATCATAAACGCAGCCACCCAGAGCTCCCGGGTGCTGGAAAAGTGATTATTCTTAAAAAGACAAGGTGTAAAATTTAAGACATTAGTGGAAAAAGGCTTTAAAAATCTCTCAGTTACTTGGTTACATCAATTACCTATTGAGATGACACATTTTATTAAGTTAAAACATATTATTAAAATTAATTTCATCTGTTTCTTTTTATATTTTTAATGTAGCTACCAGAAAAATTATGGTTATATATATTTCTTTTTGGAAGTTTTGATCTAGAAAATAAAACAGAAATACTGTTGAAGTGCAGGGTGCATATGAGGAGCTATATTTAGGAAATCGTAAGAGGGGAAGAAGAGAAAGTCACCACATCTGGGTTTTGCACAAGGGAGCTACAAAATATATTACTGAAAAATATCTAGAGGCACTATGTGGGGAGAGGAACCAGACTGATCGTGTGACTCTGGGTAATGGGTAAATTATTTAACCACTGAGCACACCTCAGTTTCCTTATCGATAAAGTGGGGATGCTACTGGGACCTGCCTCACAGAACCGACAGAATGAATCACGCCCATCAGTCCCAAGCAGGAGGGGCTGGTATATACAGTACGAGCTCCAGAACCATTGGTCACTACCACCCAGCCCCACACAAGCTCCGGGATGACAGAGATTGCTTTTCCTGATTTTCTCTGCTCTATATCCAAACTAGCACAGGGCCTGGCAATACACACAAGTCACGAAATACTTGGCGAATGCAGAGCGTGCAGGGAATGGTACACATTCAATAGTATTAGAGTCTTTAAAATGAGAGAGACAATAGGAGAGGGCAACATGAATGGCCTGGCTGAGCGGTCATCCTACCACCCTATTCCAGAGTGATGATGGCCACTAAAAACCCCCCAGAAATAGACAGCAGTCCATACATTTCTACCACGTGCTCCCTTTTCAATGTGCTTTCACATTCTAGTTTGCAAGTCTACACAGCAGATGGTGAAAGCCTTCAGAGGCAATCTGCCAGGTTTATTAAAGGAAGAATCAAGCTATAAAATTAAGAAACTAATAAGTCTTACAAAATGATATCAGGGTAAGACAAGCAGAAGTCTTAGTTATCTTTTATTTTAAATATTTTCTAATTATTTTTACCATGAGTATATGCTATTTTATAGTCAGCAAAAATGCATGCTGTTTTTAAGAGACGTAGGAGAAGGGTAAGAAGTCAGTTAGTCCAGATGGAGTCATAACTCAGAGTGCAGCCAGGCTAGAACTTCCTCAGAGGGCTGGAAAACATCTGGATTCTGCAGCCATCATGGGATTACCTTGACAGGGTGATTTTAGAATGGCTGATCTTCCTATGGGCTTTGAATTCTGAGAAGCCTTCAAATCCTTCATTTCTTACTTCTTGGCAATTTGAAATTAAGATTTTTTCATTTTCTGTGCATAGATTTCTAAAGCGTAAGACTAAGAGACAGTGCCCACCTTGCAGGTTTTATGGAGCATTAATTGAGGAAAGTATCTATCATCGTTTGCAAGTTAAACCACAACCTGCATCTCCTCTCTATCCTGGGACCCAGGAAGGCATGGCCAGCAGAGAACTGAGGCTTGCTATCCTCCAGCAAATTTATGAGGCCAGCAGAGCCTCTGAGGCTACTTACTTATTCTTGATCACTAATTAATGAATTAACTGGGCTGAATTACAGAAGTATTTACTCCCTAAGGAATTCCTGTGACTAGAAGGTGAAGAACCTGAGACCACAAGGAAATCAAGGAGGAATGAGTTGAACACACAGTTTTTGCAACCATGTATTCAACAAATATTTGTGAAGCATATACTTTGTGCTACAGATTCAACAGAATATAAGACAAGCAAAAAATTCCTGTGCTGGTGGGGTTGTCTTAGTCATTTTCTTCATCACTAGGACAAAATACCCAACACCCACAACTTAAAGGAAGAGAGGTTTACTTTGGCTTACATGTTAGAAGTTTCAGTCCTTGTGTGGTTGGCTGGCTCAGGCAAAAGTGGCACAATGGAAGAGCCCAGGCAGAAGAAAGATGCTCATGTTACGGTGGTCAGGAAACAGAGAGAGAAGGGAGCCCAGGAGAGAGAGAGAGAAAAGCTTCCGAGTCACACTCTCAGCAACCCTCGCCTTTGGCAGGTTCAGCTATGGCACCCTCGAATTTCAATCACTAGAAAATATCTGTCTATGAGTCTATAAGCCTTCGGAGAGTGCATTTTCCCCAGCCTTTCCTTCTCTGGCTCTTCTTTTCTCTACTTCCTGATTGCCAGGATTGGAGCAGCTCTCCTCCGCAACAATCTTCCGCCATGATATTCCCACCTTAGAGCCAGCCACCCTGGAACAGAAAGCTCTGAGACTAGAAGCCAAAACACACCTTTCTTCCCCTGTTTTGTGTGTCAAGCATTTGGCCCCACCAAAACAAATGCTTTATAAATATTTGTTGAATAAATGAATAAAATTTCTGCTAAAAGAATTTTTGTTTCTTTCCATTGTTGAAAGATGTAGAATCAAATATCCAGCATGTCCCACTGCCAGGTAAGGCAAAAGGCCAAGGACTAGATCACACTGATGCACACCTTGCAAACCTGTTATCTCTCTGTCCCATGAAGAAGTATCCTGTGTCTGTGAAGTTACTCTATTCCAGTATGCTGTGTCACATATTTCTTCTTCCACAGCTTTGAAGAAGAGCTCAGATCTGGAAAAAGCCATTGCCACTGCTGCTCTGATTTTCAGAAACGCATCTGACCCTGATGGTAAACTTGGAAAAGCAGCTGCAAAAAATCTGCTGCAGGTTCAATTTGGAAATTTTACAAAGGTGGGATAATTTTTTTATTTAAAAAAAAAGATTAAGATAAAAGAAGACATAACAAACAGGTCAGAAAACAATTTAAGCACCATAGTGTTTCACCACAAGACAACCCAACATAACAGTAGCTACCATAGTGTCTCTTTCCTTGAAATATTTGAGTATACTTTTATATACTATAGTATCAAACATAACAATATAGTATAAAACCATTCAAGAGAATGAAAGTATTACAGGGTATTCAGAGTCAACTAACAGAAAACAAATATTGCTTACTATATTATCTCCTTGTTCATAAAAAATTTTGTTTATACTATCACACATAATAAAATCCAATAAGATGCAACATGATAAAACCAATGGAGACAGAAGAACAAAAGCTTGGTAGGACTTCAAAATAAGATGATATTTTATCAGCACTAGCTATTACAATGTCTTGTTCTCTTCAAAATAGCTGTTCATAAAAGGTAGGATAATTAGGGACCCACAGTAACAGCTGGCCCAAGAGCCCACAGCTATAGATCAAGTACCCACTGTGTTGCATCCAAAAACATACATTTATGGATCTCTACACTATACCAAGCAAGGAGCTGAGCACCCGATTTAATGTGATGAACAAGCTAACAATCCAGTAAAGAAATAACCAGAAAGAGCAAGTAGAAAACGTGAAAGACGTGAAGGAATAGGCACCACAGGGCAAATGGTCAAAGAAAGATTCCTGGGAAACTGCAATGTAGCTAAGAACTGAAGAATGTTGAGTTAACCAGGCAAAAAGTAGTAAGAACAGTGTCATCCCCAGCAGAGGGAATGTCATACGCACAGGCCCAGGGACAGGCTGAAGATGTGAAAGGTAAGCTGTTGGTAAAAAGCAGAAGGAATATACCATTGGGAGAGACAAGGCTAGAGCAATCAGGAAAAGTGATGTTTTTTAGCCAGAGAGCACGGCAGGCCAGAAGTGGCTTCTAAGTCCACATCTGAGAAACCACACTAGCAAGCATGCAAGGGAGGGTGGGCAGGAAAGGAGTAACGCAGAGAAACAATCCAGCAAAAGAGGACAAGGGCTCGGACTAGAGTGGTGAAGATGCAGAAAAAGACAAATACAACAGACATTTGGAAAACAGAATGAGCCGAACCTGAAACCGAATGACTGTGACACTTGAAATATAGGAGGAGGAACAGAGTAGTGACACTCACTCCAGTTCCTAACAGAGAGGAGAAGTGAGTGGTGGTGTCATTCCCAGAAAAGACAAACCTGGGGAATACGCAGGTTTGGAGCAGGAGGGAAGAGGAGGAGGCGGGGAGAGGATGACTCCCCTACGGATAAGCCCATTTTAAGACAGCCTTGAAACCTTCCAGTGGGGAGATGAAGACACCGACAGGATGTGTGAGCCCAAGGCCCACACTGAGACCTGTCTGAAAGCCGGGACTAAGAATCCCAGTGACTGGTGGAAAGGGGTTAACCGAACCACCTAACTCCCCAGCGTCAGCCGTGCCAACAGCCTGCTCAGTGTTACCCTCCGTCTCCTACAACACACATTATCACTTCCTTTGAGCTTTTTCTTTATATTTCCTCTCTAGCTAAATAAGTTTATTTATGAGGATACTTTATCATCTTTTACATGTTAATTCAGTGGACAAAAGTGGAAGATCACAATAAAAGACTAAACACATAATTATTCACTATTTAATATTTGTTCTTACATCAACTAAAATTACATTACATTCTACCATCAGTATCTGTTCATACTTTGGAAAATACTGGCCTGAGGGAATGTGCAGAAAGAAAAGGCTTCCTGTGAGCCTGAACCACTATTTATTGGTAGATAGAGCAAGAAAAAATATGTCAGTTGTCTCTAAGTTTCTATGTATGTTCCAAGACATCAAAAGCTGAATATGCTCACATAAGTATATAGTTGTAGACATGCACATGCATTTACACACACAAATAGAGAGAGAGAGAGACAGAGAGAGAGAGAGACAGAGAGAGACAGAGAGAGCTTTAGTGTACTAGGTTACATAAGATGCCCTCAACAAGGAGGAGCTAGCTCAAGGGCACAACTTCCCACAGATCTAGGATTACTGAAAGTGTGTTCCTGTGGGTGCATATAGTATGACACATGTTAAAACAACTGGAGATATATATTAATAAGGGTTATTAGTTTTTGAGGAATAGAGTAAAAGGTTATGCATACATTCTTTTATAAATGCTTTTCTGAATATTCTTAATTATATATGCATAATTTTTGAAATATTTTTAAGGAAAGACTATTTGGGGCCATAAATGTCAAGCAGAATTTGGCAAGAGCTGGAAAGTTCTAGGGAATCTTTAAAGAAAGAACATGTAAACAAACCTTGTACTATTTCCCTGCATCTGCAGCCAAAATAAATGGCATATCGCAGAGAGAAAGAAGAGCCCCTTGACTAAGTGGCTCAGAAATCTTCAGAGGGCTTTTTAAAAGCATGGAAATGAGGACCTGCTGAATCCATCATCTTCATACAATGTGTCACCCTTCTGAGACCATCAGAGGAAAACATTAAGCTGGTCATTAGGAGAGGTCTCCCTAGCCCTTTGCTCCCCCGGAAAGGCTAAGCCTGAAGAAGGCAGCAGTGTCAGCAGGGGGTGATGCTGCCCCTGCTTGAGACCAGAGGCACCAGGAGGCAGAGCCATATTTCGGGGGACGCCAGGAGGCAGTCACTCCAGGACATCCTCACGGCAGGCAGTGGTAGTTCACATGCCAAGCATGTAGAGAAATGTCAGCATGCTGCCTCGCCCCGTGGCCAGTTTCGGAACTCCCCAGGCAGGTGTATGGATGCCAGTCAGTTACAAAGCAGCAAAGCCCACTTCACTCCCAGCTGGGCTTTCACCTCCCCTTGCAGAGGTCTCTGGTAAACCGTACTGGACGGTCTTTGAGATACAGCCTGAAGCATGTTGGCTAAAGCATGACCAGGCTGCAAGGATATTGGGGTTTATTTTTAACCCCAAATTTATTTACATATAATTCATAATTCACATTCAGTAAAACTCATCCTGTTTAGTGTGAGTTTAAAGAGTCTGATAAATGTGAGCAGTTGCCTAACTGCTACAACAGAGGTAGAGGGCAGAACAGAAAATTCTCCTAGGAGAATTTCAGCTGAGACCTAGGCCCCAAAGCAGACATCTTTAACTTAGGCATAATACTGGGGCTCCCAACACCTATCACCAGCCAGATGTGATGAAACAAGCATCTAAAGATATAGTTAAGAATGCATGAAAACAAAGTGATTCCTCACACCTGAGAGGACTGGACCTCCAACAGCTCTGCAGAAAGAAGGAGGAGGAGAAGGAGAAGGAAGAGGACGAGAAGGAGGTGGAGGAGGGGGGGGAGGAAGAGGAGGAGGAGGAGATGAAGGAGGAAGAGGAAAGAGGTATGGGAGGGGAGAGGAAGAAGAAGGAGAAAGAGAGGGGTCTCCCACACATGTGGCCTTCAAGGAACAAAGTATCAGTTGCACTGGTAAACTGTCTTTGCCTTGGAGTCAGATGGACCCCTTCCAAACAGCAGGCAGCTATCTTGAGGAAAGACATAGGGCTCCTTTGTCCCTTGCCAATGGTGGGTCTGTGTCTCCAGACTGGAGAGACAAGAGTGGATCCAAGCCCAGGAAAGGATTCCAAGTGCCATTGCTGTGACAGATTTTTACAACTAGCACGTGGGCAAGCATTTGAAGTTGAACTAAATGCAAACACAGTTCAGTGTAAGAACAACCTTTGTGTTTTGAATGTCACAGTTCTAAATTGTGGTTTGAAACTGAAACACCTCTGCATTTCTACACTGTCCATATGCTTTCCTTCAATCTGACCATTTATCAGGACCATGAGCTTGGATTTGATTTATGATCACAGTAAATGCTGAGCAATCTTCCAGAACACATGCTTCCTCTTGGCACAGTTGATTCTGTATTTTTGGATAATCTTACAGTTCAGATGAGCACATAAGTGATATCTCCCATAGCGAAGATATTATACTCTGAAAATCTGAAATCATGGTAGCACCTGTGCTCAATGAAGGGCAGGATAGCTTAGCAACTAAAAGGATGGGCTCTAGAATTGGGCAAACAAGGCTATAAATCTTGGCCCCATGCTACAATCTGCCTAGCTCAGAGCAGTTTCCTTAATCTTCTGTTTCTGAGATGGCATCTCTAGAATGGGAATCATAATAACAAACAGCAATCAGCAAAGTCACTGTGAGATTCCAATAAAGTAACCCACAAAAGATTTAATACACAGGGCTTGGCTGGGAGGGCTAATGGCAACCTGCCACACTGTTATTGTTCATCATGTGTGTATTGTTGCTTATTTTCTATAAATCCAAGGTTTACATAATGACTCGGGTTTTTATGTATTCTTTATTCTCACAGGGACAAGAATCCAAGTCAACCTATCAAGAGATCCTCTCTGAACTTGAGGAACACACAGAAAACAAGCTTGATTTTGAGGACTTCATGATTTTGCTACTAAGCATCACTGTCACATCAGATCTACTGCAGAATATATGGAGTACAAAAAGTGTGAATTAAACAGCTTTCTGGATGCAGTTAGATAAAATAGGGGAGAGACTCTTAAGTCATTAAAAGGTTCTTCATCTTGTTTGTAATGAATTACATGTTGATCACACATCAGGGACAGCTCTGATTGCTGAAATTGAGGCACGGTACAACTCCAATAGCTTACACATACTCTTCAGAAATGCGTGGCATCTGGAAATATTTGAATAATATGGTCTCCATGCTTTACAGTGTGTCACTGGACACTGTTGATGTTAGGTTGCTTTTACTGAATCAGTAGTAACTTACACCACTTTTCTTACAGATACTCAGCCACTCATACGATCGCTCATTCACCTGATGACAGCTTGTGAGCACCTCCCTGGTAACACCGTTACAGAAGCTGTAATGAGTGGTAGGACAACGCCCTCCCTCAGATACCCTTACAGAGCTCTGGCTGAGAGAGGAACCCTGAGCCATATCTAACCAATTACAAATACAGTAACATTGCAATGGCGATAATGGTTTCAGGATGCTGAAAGAGTTTATCTTCTGACTTGGGTTCAAAGGTCAGAGACACTTTACTGACATTCTGCAAATAATAACAAAAAAAAAAATAGACACAGGGGACTTCCTAGGAGAATTTTCTGTTCTGCCCTCTACCTCTGTTGTAGCAGTTAGGCAACTGCTCACATTTATCAGACTCTTTAAACTCACACTAAACAGGATGAGTTTTACTGAATGTGAATTATGAATTATATGTAAATAAATTTGGGGTTAAAAATAAACCCCAATATCCTTGCAGCCTGGTCATGCTTTAGCCAACATGCTTCAGGCTGTATCTCAAAGACCCACACCCTTGTGGGGTACCTCCTGTGTTCCTGCCTGTAGAACACACACGCATGTGCACACACACCATGCTGGGTCTTGCATGGGGCTGCAAGTCTCTGTGGAGCAGCTCAGCAGATGATGAGAGGCACCCAAAACTCCCAGAGAGGGAGCTGGGCAGCACTACACACAGGCCTTCCTGCACAAGCTTTGCAGAGGACTCATAATTCCACAGTCTCTGGCAGGAAGAACAGAGGTTTTAAGTAATGAAGGTATGGTCTGGGATCACCCAGGTAATAACCGCAGAGTCAGAACCCCAGTACAAGGTCGGGAAGAAGAGCCCAAATGTTCACACCCTTATTTTCTTTCATCCCAGTGATGTTATGCTCTACAGAGAGCCCGTTGCCTGGCATTTATCATACTTCTACACAGGCTGCGACACCGAGCAAGCCAGAGAGGAAGAATCACTGTTTTTATCTTCTAGGAATTATGGGTGGCAAGACAGGCATGCAGATGTGATGGTTCACATTGCCCCAGACATTCCTGTTCTGCCAAGCACTTGGTAAGATCCTGTCTCTCTACTTCCTGACAGCTGAGTGTGGACATCTGAGCTGAGGCACTACCAGTCACTTCCGGTGGGAGGATCAGGGCAGGGTCAGCCACCTCTGTTCCCCTGGCCCTGAGGAGGCTTCTGCTCCAACCCAGGCCTCAAGGGTGGACATTCTGGAGTAGGACCCCAAACACAGACAGACCTCACTCATCCTTAACTGGTTCCCGGGAGCATGATGAGTACCAAAAACAGTGAATACAAAACGAGCTACTTCAGCTGGAAAGGACAGTGACTCAGGGGACACTGACACAGATAAGTACCAAACAATGAGTACTAGGACAATATTTTCACAGCAAAATGCATCAAGTATCAAACTCAATGAGTTTCAAAGCAGTGGAGTCACAAAATGTAGACGTGTCACTTAAGAGAGAAATAAATCTTGTTGTGAGAGTCGTTCACTTTAAAATGATTATAACTTTCCAAGTCCTTCTCTCACTTCCCATTTTCTTCATAGTCTAATGCGTGGAAACACTTGCTAAAGGGATAGCATGATAAGAACTTCAGGTCTGGGGAGGAGTTGCTTCACCAGAAATGTTCCAAGTCCGGGAAAGCCCAGCTCTTCAACATGGTCCTCTCCAAGCCTCAGATATCAGTCCAAGACCTCAGGCAATGGAAGTTTAAGATCCAAACTTTGCCTTCCATCATCACTTTAACAGGAGGCAAATGTGTTCAGCCGAAGCACTTAAACTCAATTGTTTAATAAAAGGAAAACAGATTACAAAAACAAACAAACAAAAAAGCAGAGTACAGAAAATTAGGTATGCCCTATTTCAAAGTCTTGCCTTAAGCTGATTGTCTAACATCAGTGGAAAAAGAAAGCAGAAGAAAGTTTCATCTTGTTTCTTTCTTTCCTTTTTATAATACAGAGATGATCTTATGGTCAGCCACAGTTCTAGGAGCTTAAGAGTAGTAACTTGTTTAACCCCCATAACACCCCTGTGAGGTACGTATTACTATTATTGCCATCTTACAGATTAAGAAAGAGAAGTGCCAAGGATTTTGTTTTTCCCAAAGTCTCACAATTAGATTGGAGAGTTCTCTGCCCTTCTTGGGGGAAATTCTAATTTTGTTTTAATATATACTTTATTGTGAGCAATAATATTGTAACTCAACAAAAATAGTCCTGCACATTTCAGGCACTGTGCAAGAGACAGCAGTGCCAGCTGGGCCTGAAGAGCCATTTGGCACTCCTCAAATAGAACTCTGTGGGCTGTCCTCCCTCGAAGCCCTCTGTGTCTCAGTCACAAGTAGCTGAATATGGCAATCGTGGTGACCAATGGAAAGGTCAAATTCACACCCTTCAGAGAAAGAAAAAGGAGCCTGGCCCATGGTGTGATAAAGAATCTTGGAGCCATTCCAACTCTCTGGGCTCCCAGTAAGAACTTTCAAAAATCTATCCCAGATGGAAAGTCACAATCCTTGGAGGGCGATATCAACTATAAAATCTAGTTTATCCTGATGGAAACAATGAAAACAGCTAAGACACATGCACATGTTGAAGCATCAGTGACAGATAAAGTAAGCAAAAGAATGGTGAGACTCAAGGTTACTTCTTGGGTCTGGTCCCAGGACCACAAAATCTACTCTGCTGGAAAAGGTGTCATATTAAAAATGTTAGTTATCAGCACAGGTGAGATGATTGTGCAAATCTGTCTTGGGATCCCTGGTTGCAAGAATGAGACACTCCAGATACACACACACACACACACACACACACACACACACACACACACATACACACACACACACACACACACACACACATACAAAAAGAAAAAGCAAATGTCTGTATTTATAAACAAGGCACAGGACTATAACTTAATGAAAGGGCAGAGTACACACTATGTCCCACAAATAATGGAAATAGTAATAGAAAGCAAACCTAGTCTTTCTCTCCTTGTCTCTCTTTTCTTTCTCTTTTTGATAAACTGTATTTGCACAAATTAATTATGTAGAAGAAAGGGCTACATTTCAGCCTACTCATACGTGTACATAACAATGCTTTATTTTCAAATGTGCACTAAGCCTTTCCTCCGGCCTCCACTCCTTGTCCCTTCCCTGTTCTCTAGAAGTCTCCTTTCTACTTTGCTGACACTTTTTTAAGTGTTCTTTCTGGAGACCGCATATGAGACAAAATGTGATGCTCAACTTTCTGAATCTGGCTTATTTCATCGGACATTGTAATGTCCTGTTCCATCCATTTTCCTGCAATTGACATGTAATTCACTCTCTTGTCACTGAGACAAAATACCTGATGCCCAAAGTTGGGAAAGGAAAGGTTTATTTCTTACAGTCTTGGAGGTTTCAGTCCATACTCAGTTGGCTCCAAGGTGGGGTGGCGTGAGAGAGCCGCAGGTCATGGCAGCGGCAAACAGTAAGGCGCAAACCAGCAAGAGAGAGGGGGGTGGGGAGAGATGCACCTTCTTACCGCCCTTACATGGCATCCTGGCTTCACTCCAAGGTGGGTGTAGCACTGATACCACCAACCCAAGCACTAGGCAATGAACCAATCACAAACGTATGAGGCTTGGGGGCCACTGACATGAACCATAAGACTCTCCTACACTCTTGATGGGGGAGGTAAATAGTACATCCACTGTGGAAATCAGTATGGCTGTGTCTGAAAAAGTTAAAAATCATGCTCCCATTTGACCCAGTATACCACTCCCCACTATATTCCTGAACAAATTAAAGGCAGCATGCTAGAAGGATACCTACAGACCCATGTTTATTACTGGATGATTCTCAATAGCTAAGCTGTAGAACCAGCCTTGGTGCACCTCAACAGACAAATGGTTAAAGAAAATGTAGTATAGAAACTCAGTGGAGTATGGTTCTCTTAATCTTTCTTAAATGAATTGTCTTCTTGCTTCTGCTTCTCTCTGCAGGTGGTCATTATTTTGCATTGTCTTTCTCTATCTCAACCTCCTGACCAGTTCTTTCTACTTCTTTATTCAAGAGCTAAGCACAGGGTCTTGTTTCCTGACTTTGATTTGCTCTTCAAGTGTTCAACAAACATTCAATAGCACATCAGAGGCCCAACCCCAGTCCTCAGGAGAGAGAGAATTCAGTCAGCTGAGTGTGAGCAGGGATTGCTTCTGATCCGGTGGCCAAGGAGACAGGTCACATCGCCACTCAGCAGGCACAGTGGGAATGGACTCCTCAAAGAAGATGTAGGCAAGTTCTTAGAAAAGGAAGAAAGAAGTAGGGGAAGAAATAATTGATGGAGGAAACTATAATCTCTAGAACAAAATCTATAACTCGCATTAGGAAGTCTGTTATTTACTTCTCAGATACGAGCTCAGCAAAAAGTGCCTCACTGGAACAGTGTCATTCGTGAAGCCTTTTGTGCACTACCACTGAACAAAGGACACTAACCTGAGTCTCCCTGGGAAGTAGTCTTGTGAATAATTACAGCCAAGATGTTCCTATACAAGAGCTGTGGCACCCTTGCAATTTGGTGAGCATCACACACACACAAAAAATACTCTATCGGACTTCCGGGAGAACATGGCGGACAGATAACAGCAACTACCGGAGGCTCTCTGAAAGACTCGGCTCAGAAGCCAGGAATGGTGCAGACTAAGGAGACATAAGCAGGTGGAGATATGCTCTGCTGACTCAGGAACGAACTGGGCTGAGAGAAACCAACTTGGAATGCATTCCTGGTGCTAAAACAGGAACAGAAAAGCCTCGGTGTGGAGGCTGGACCCCGCGCCATTGTAAGCCGCGATTTGGGTTTCCCGCCGCGCAGCGGCTGGCTGCCTCTACAGTGGCTCGGTAAGGAGAGAGACGCGCAGAAGCTCTGAGAACGGCAATCTGCGAAGGGCAGGGAGGCGTGCACTGACTTGTGGTGAGGTGAGTGAGAGGAACTGACACTCTACCACAGTTTGACTCCAGCGGAGGACTTTCTGGGCCCGAGCAGTCCTGCGGGAGCAGGGCGCAGTGGCGACTCCAGCCACACATCCCCCTCTCAGGCGGGATTGGTGAAAAGTGCCTGGCCTGCGTGACGCTGCCGGCGGACCTGGTAGGCTGTCCCAACCCAGATCCCAGAGCCTGACGGTGGCCGGGAGGGGAGACTCGTAGGCTGCCTGGTCCGTAACTCCCTGGTGCGCAGCAGTGAGCGGGAACACCTAACTGGTGCAATTCGATCAGGCTGTGGCTGACGGGGAGAGAAGCTGGGCCTCTTATATAAGCTTGCATATATAAGGAACAGAGAAGAAGAGGCAGCATGGGAAGAGGCAGCAACAAGAAAGGCTCCTTGGCCCCCAATTCTGAAAAACAGGCAATAGCAGACACCGCACCAATACACATAAGGCACCATATAGAGAGCCTCATAGACCAATTCAGGAATGAAGTTATCAGT